CTTCTCTTTTAAAATATTATTTTTATAAATTAAATTTTAACATTTTAAATAAATTATTAATTAACTTAATATATTTATTCATCTTAAATCTAAGATATAAAATTCAAAAAATGTATTTATCCTTGTTTTATTTTCTAATTATCAACCATTAATAAAATACTAATTTAAAATCTTATCTAGTTATATCATAATATTTTCATATCAAGTTTAAAATCAGATATTAGTTATACAAAAATATTAAAATTCTATAGTAAATTATTAATAAGATTCTAGTTAAATAATTTAAAATAATTCAAAATAATCAATTTTATCACACAACAATAAAGAAATACTAATAGTTAAGAAAATACATTTGTACTCTTCCTATTAGAAAAAGAGAGGATGTTATAATTCTTTTTTTCTTAAGATATCACATCTCTTCTATCAATAAAAGTTAAATATAAAACTTTATTTAAAAATAAAGTTATCATAAGTTAGAAATATATATTATAAATATGGATCAAAATAAATAAGAAATTTTAAAAAATTCATATACTCTAATTAAAAAAATTCCTAAAAATTCAATCGTAAAAAAAAACCTCTAAATATTTTTTCACATAAATAACTATTGGTATTAATTATGTAGGAGTGCATATAAATATTTTTTTTATTATAAATTAATGTCTTGCTCTTACAAAAAAAGAAAATGGGATTGATACTCAACAACAATATTATGATCACTTTTAAGCAATTTATAAATTTTTTTAAGTTTTATTTAGCGACCGAATACAATTTCGTCGCTAATTTTAACTAATATTTAGTGACCGAATAGAATTTCGTTGCTAATTTTTACTAATATTTAGCGACCGAATAAAATTTCATCGCTAATCGTAACTAATATTTAGCAATCGAATTTAATTCCGTCGCTAAAAAAATCAAAATTTCTGATTTAGCGACCGAATTCAATTCCGTCGCTAATTTTAACTAATATTTAGTGACCGAATTTAATTCCGTCACTAAAAAAATCAAAATTTCTGATTTAGCGATTGAATTCAATTCAATCGCTAAATATTAATTAAATTTAGCGACCGAATTCAATTATGTCGCTAATTTTAACTAATATTTAGCGACCAAATAGAATTCCTTCGCTAATTTTAACTAATATTTAGCGACCGAATTAAATTTCATCACTAATTTAACTAATATTTAGCGCCGAATTAAATTTCGTCGCTAAAAAAATCACAATTTCTGATTTAGCGAATGAATTTAATTCTTTCGCTAAAAAAATCAAAATTTCTGAGTTAGCGACAAAATTCAATTCTGTTGCTAATTTTAACTAAAATTTAGCGACCAAATTCAATTCTGTCGCTAAACAAATCAAAATTTCTAATTTATCGACGGAATTGAATTTCGTCGCTAATTTTAACAAATATTTAGCGACTGAATAGAATTTTGTCGCTAATTTTAACTAATATTTAGCGAAAAATTAATTTATGTCGCTAAATCAGTCGCTAATTAGCAACTGATAAATTTTGGTCGCTAATTTCGGTTGCTATTTTGCAATTTTCTAGTAGCGTTTTTCCTAACCCTAATAAAATACCCTAGCTATAAAATAAAATCCTATAATCTAAGGCACCCAATAATACAAGGGTAAAATCAGAAATATAAGTAAAAATAAATCCTATAACTAAGATACT